GGTGGTGCATTCGTGTCGCCCGAATGCACGTAGAGTTGGTTTTTGTAACCACGGGATGTCGTCGGCGAGCAGGGCGGGACTGGTCAACGGGGGGGGATACTCAGCAGTCCCTGGAGAGTGGAGATATTACACCGATCAATTCACTACACGGTACCATATGATAGGACCACAGGGCGCACTCGCGAGAATTGATCATAATTAAAACTATAACAAATTTAAATAGATAAGAAAATAAATTATAATGCCTTAAATAAATAGATAAAAATTAAGATCGGGGTAGTGAAGTGTGCTAAATAAATAGGTTCGGAGGCCAGTAGTGTAGAGGCGGTGTAGGGACGTGAGCACCACCCTCCACTGGGACCAGAGCAAAAACATTAGACATACTGAAATTCTCGTCAGAGAGGTATCACATAGGTTTGTCGCTTGAGCAAGTTGGGTTTCGGTTAACGTGTTGAAATTTTGCTGTCACTAAGCATGAGAGGCGTCTGGTGGAGTCGCAGGGGGGTGAGGTACTGCCGGAACGTATACCGCTGGGGGTACGGTCCGATATACCGGACGTACCTGGGTACCAGAGCATACAAAGTCAGCGTATTTCATATGCCTCTGCTGGTGACTATCTAACTATTGCCGGGGACCGTAACCTCGCCTATCACTAACGAGTCTTAGGAGTCGCTACGCCTCCTCGGCCTAACCCGTAACCCTACCATATCAGATACAGTTGACAGTGTACTTCCGGCAGTACGCTGGGGGACATAGACCCTATGAGGCGATCACGTAACCATAACTTTGTGATCTATGACGATGAATTCGTGATGCAACGTCACTCGACCAAACTTTTCTGTGTGCTCGCCTGGCTGAACATACAAGCCAAGACACTATTCATTATGCGTCGTGGCATCTCTGCATTTTTGCATTGTGGCTTGGTCCAATTAGTGATGTTAAGACGGTCGTTGCTCAGTGTATCCATCTGTCTTCATTGTGCAAGAAATACTGATCGGTGATGCGGGGCGGAAGAAGTACAAATAACATGTATACAAGCTCTACTTCTAGAACGACACGCGTTAGATGGACCTGATATGCAACGTCTTTGGTGTACTTTTCTAGAAGGTAGACATAGAGCCATCTCTGTTAGGTAAATCTATATAGGTGCGGATAGAAACTTCATGAAAGTTGAATAGAACATCACCAGTATCACTATATATAATATTACTATATATTATAGTAGTATCATATATATATAGAATATATATACAGCTATACATATATATTGTTTGCAAAATGTTTGCAATTCTAAGAAAGAAGGCAGCAACACATTGGGTTACATTGGTACACTGGCGTTGGTTGTAGGGCTGTAAGGTTATGAATTACGATTACCTAAGATTTGAGTTATCGTATAGGTACTATATATAAGCGGAATAACTTAACATTACATACTTAACTTGGTAATATCGTAATTGAGGAGGGCCTCAAAATATAGAGAATGTGTTGAGCTCCATTTAAGCCGTGAATCCGCTAACATGCACAGGCGACAGCGAGCGCTCTTCACTGAGATTTATTCCCTCCTTTAAAAAATAACACTACGAATACCTGCTACCAACATGGGCAGTAAAGCGAGTTTTGCACGCTTGCTCTATTCTAACACGCTTTCCAAGCTGAATTGTATATCAGTGAGGACTATAGGCCGTTACTGTCGAGTGTCATGCCGGCAGGATGCAGGCTAGGCAACGTGTTAGGCCACAAATGGAATAAAATCTTTTGTTTCCATCACCCGACCAGGGGCTGAAAATTGGAGGTAGGTCGGCCTTTTTTTTTTAGGGCAGGGTCGTTTTTACAAATTCAGCATTAGTGTCCTAACGACATGCTTCGGCGTGTGCCTTGTGTGTGGAATACTTTGTTATGTTGAAGTATTTGTTGTTGGCTTGGGAGGTAACATAACTGTATTGCCTACAGATGTTTATATAATGTACAGGAATTTTAGCAACTGTTGTTAAAAAAAGACAAGAGACAGAACAAAATCTATAAAAGTTTTTGAGGCAAGCCCCTTGTTTTGGCGGGTCGGTCCAGGGTGAGGGGCAAACAAACACTATTTTATGTATGAAATTAATATTATTGCATTACCAGGACAGACGCAACATAGCAGTATAGTAGTATATTCGCGGGCGCATTTCGCAGGTAGTAGTATATATATATAGTATCAAGAGCGTATTTTAAGAATACTTTCTTCTGCATTCTTAATACACTTATACACTATATATATATAGAAAGTATAATACTATATCACTTGTCCCGGGCAATCGGACAACCGTTAGTGTCGAGGGCTGTAGTAATGTATTCATAAGTACAGTGAAACCCCGATTTTACGTGCCCCGATTTAACGCGAATTCGGATATGAGTCACTGGACCTTTTTTTGCTCTTTCCGGAACTGAAACGTTTTTTGGCGAGTTAAGCCGGACTTAGGTCAAATCACGATCGCCTATAGATCGCGCAACTAAATATACAATGTGACCCTGTTATAAGGCGATCGTTGGGGTCCATAAAATGTCATGGCGAAAAAAGCCATCTATATATAGAATCAAGCTTGATAGAATATATAGCAGGGTGCGAAATTAACGTGAGTACGGAGTCAAATACTCCCAGATTTACTGTCCGACTCCCTGATTTGACATATGCAGGAGTCCGTGTGACTTCCTGAAAATTCTGCCATACTAACTATAGTTCGTTCAAGAGCACGACCTCGCGGAATTACCGCATTTTTTCAGCTAATGTCCAAAGAAAATTTGGCAGACGTGCAACCGCATGAATCTTAAAAATAAGCACATGCGTTATTGTTAGTATCTTTAATTTTGAACCTCAGACTGCAGACTCCCTCATTTTGCTGCGGACTCCCTCTTTTCGAGGGTAGCGAGTCCGTTGGACTCCCGTGTTCAAAAGTTAATTTTTACCCAGGCTGTATAGTAATATCGAAATCGATGCGGCATCGACTTGAAGACTCACCTGTATCGGCGTGACACCGGGCATGAAGATATCTGTCGGTGGTGGGTCGGCTGGCAGCATCGCCTGACCAGAATGAAGCTGCGAAGACAACGCCAATGATCCGCAGCTTCCCAAAATCGCCATGACAACAGCGACCATGCAGCACGACCGCAGTGACCGGGCAGCTCTCTCGCACCATCGTCTCGCCTCACTGCACATCATCGCGTCTGTCTGTATGTCCACCGGCACGGCGGACGATGACGAGGCGAAATGCTGTCCAGATGAAAACGTTTGCTGTCTTTGCTGTGAGAGAAACCGGACACCGTGCCTGTGTCGATATCACAGTTGTCTACGATCGGTCGGCTTGGACTCCCCCAGAGACAAATCCAGTAGCTTTGGTTGATGTAATCCCCAAAGGTGGCACATCTATTAGAAAAAGTAATCACAGTGATTAACATCGTGCTATACATAACAGTGTTTCCCCTGCATTGACACGAGTGAGGCGGGCCGCCTCGCTCCAATTCTCAGCCTCCAGACAGAAATCCAAAACACTGCCTCGCTGACGAAACCTTCACAACTTGAAAAACAGATTCAAGAGTCTCATACAATGTGTTCAGAATAGCTTAGAATGCACCAAATTGCACCATTTTTTCAAAAAAAATTCCCAGGGAAGCATGCCCCTGGGCCCCCTAGCTTGGCCAGCACTGCTCGCTTTGCTAGGACCTCTTCCGGCATATTAGATAGTACCAGGGTACGTTCCGGCAGTACCCTGGGGGACATCTAGGACCCTCTCAGCAGTACTGATGACCATAATGATGACATATATGACTCACGGCTTGTAAGTAGTTGTGAGTGTGATCCCTGAGTAGTCCTTCTGGCTGCTAACGAACGGGTGGGCATAGTGAACTTGAAGAACCAAGTAGTTCACCTCACTCGTGCCTCCGATCTTGAATCCCACATCTGCATGCAACACAGAAGACAAGAACATGCACATTTCATACTTGTTTGTAGTGTCACACAAACAACTAGACAGAGGGCACTCAAAGAAAGTGCATACCTCCGCGAGCGTGTAACATGTATACATGTGTATAACAGCTGGCTCGCTGCTGGCTGCTGCTGACTAGACGCCCTAAGGCGAGCTGGTGCAGAATCGATCGCGCCAACGCGTGTAACATGTATACATGTGTATAACAGCTGGCTCGCTGCTGGCTGCTGCTGACTAGACGCCCTAAGGCGAGCTGATGCTGACTGGACGCCCTAAGGCAAGCTGGTGCTGAATCGATCGATCGGTTGAGCGTGTGTATAACAGCTGGCTCGCTGCTGGCTACACACACACACGAACACACACACGCGAGCGATTGCATGACCTCCGTTTGCGCGGAGGTAATAAATCGCTACAGTATAACCCAATTATAACACACCCTACAACAACGTGAATTCTGACATGATGCAAGCATCACTTCGCTGCTTTTTCTCCTGCATTCTGTGTCTTTTACTCTCTTTTTTTAAATACACAGTTTGTTGCTTTTTTGCTTTCTTCTTTTCGTTTCTGCCTATATGTAACATTTATTTACCAATTGCAATGTATTTAGAAGTCACTATGATTAAACTTAACTCCCACAGTATCATGAGTATAAGTCTTTTTTCATCTTTTGATGTTAAATCATGGCGTATTGCATTTTCCACAGTGAGGAAGGAAGGCACAGCTCAACAATAAAGCCAGACAACATTTGATGAAATTATCGTCATAATGGGTTGCTATATATATGGTGACTCCACATTTTACGCTATAAAATTTTTGGATCCGAATTATTGAGTTAGAACGGGGTATGTCCCACTGTTATTTCCTAACAGCTACCGTTATACAAGCCTACAGATTTAATTCTAGATAGAGAACTATGCAGTGTAAAGCAGAGAAACCTGAAGCCTGAGATTGCACTCATATTCCAGGCATGATCTGTAATTTTATTAAATAGGATTTGGGACAATAGCCTCATAAAGATTTATACTATCATGTATAATAAAAATGGCCATCACTTTCACTCCGGTACAAAGCTGTATATATATACACCACACACGCACACACGCACGCACGCGCGCGCGCACACCGCACACGCACACGCACACGAACGCCAGGCGACGCCCGACCCGCCACACATTCCGGCAAATGTACGTGGGAATGGAGTCTTCTCTGCGCTAAGACTTATTCTACTGCCTCTAGCCATTCGCGCCCATGCATGCCGTCACACAGTGAGCGTCCATTAGATATTTGTTACGTGCACATGACAGGGCGCAACGCCATTTACATTCACTCCAAATGCGGGAGCTGGTGCTAGTAGATACAATAAAACTTTGGTATTTATTAAAGAGGTAAGGCAAGTATGCTTTCAAGTGTGTGTTCGTGATTACAAAGGACCTATCAGGTGTGCCATAATGCTAGGCACACTGATCTATACCTATGTAATAGCGGCGTTTCAAGTAGATAGAACATAGAGGATTAAGTAATGCCAGTCGGGTGGGCGTACAAGGGGGCACGACGTAACCTGAGGCAACAGTAGGTGGTTGATTCTTCGCCATGTAGCAGTATTTTAACCCGGTTTGCACCACTTCAAGGTCTCACAGGTCCCTGAATGGTCACCATCATGCACCACGCCTTATTAGACACAGGACTTGGATATGTCATATTCATATAGCTACGTATAGATAAAATAATTAAATGCCTAAATAAATAGGAACAATATTATAATGCTAATAATTGCACCATTAGCTAGACTGGCACCCCCTCATGCAAGCAAACTTAAATATGAAATCGTCTCAGAGGTATCACATTGGTTTGTAGTACTGCAGCAAGTTGGTTTCAGGTATATACGTTTAATTTTGCTGTCACTACAATGAGGGGATCCGCCGTGTCCGCGAGGTACTGCCGGAAGTACCTGGGTTCGGTCGGTATCGGACGTACCTAGCGGTACAGCGCCTACAAATCATGATTTATTGTCTGCTGGTCTATCTATATGCGGACCGTACCTCGCCTAATCATAACGAGTCTGGGGTCGACTACGGCCTACTCCCTAACCCTAACCCTTTAACCATATCAGATAAGTTATCCGTGTACGTTACGCGTCGTGGGGACATAGAACCTCAATGAGCAGTCACTAACCAATAATCTTTGTGATAATCTCATGAATTCTGATGCAAGTCATCACCAACTTATTGTTGTCCCTGGCTGACATACAACCAACCTATCATTGTGTGTGATCTATGCATTTTTGCATGTGCTTGTACCAATTCGTGATGTAAATCTTTGCTTGTATCCATCTTTTCATTGTGCAAATACTGATCATGCTGGAAGTCAAATACATTATACACTATTCTAGAACCACTTAATGGACTGGATATGCATCTGTATGGTGGGACTTCTAGTATGTTAAGCATTCTTCGGTAAATCTTATTAGTGCGTAGAATTCTGAACTTTGATGAAGAGGGGCCGGTGTCACTATATATTATCTTATATTATATATTATTATATATAATAAATACTATGTACTATACTCTATATTTGTTTGCAATGTTTGCATTCAAAGAGCGCACACTTAAGGTACATGGCGTAACTGGTTGGTGCTTGCATTATGATACTTTACTAAGATTTTGGTTATGATATAGTATATATATATGCGGAGAAAATATTACATTCATACTAACTGGTTGTATTAATGAGGGGCGCTCAAATATACGAAAGTGTTTGAGCTCATTTAAGCGTGAATCCGCTAAATCACAGCGACAGCGACGCTCCTTCACTAGATTTATTCCCTCTTTTACAATAACACTATCTACTTCTACCAACATGGCTAAGACGAGTTTTGCACGCTGTTATCTTAACACGCTTTTCCAATGTGAATTCTACAGTGCAGGACATAAGCCGTACGTGCAGGTCAGCCAGGATGCAGCTAGGCAAGTTGGCCCAATTTGAAAAAATCTTTTGTTTTCCTCACCCGACCCAGGCTGAAAATTGGGTAGGTAGGTCGGCTTTTTTTAGAGGCGGGTCTTTTTACAATTCCGCAGTTCTTAACATGCTCGGTGTGTTGTTGTGTGGAGATACCTTTGATTGCTTATATTTGTTTTGCTTAGGTACATATAATGTATTGCTTCGTTACCGATAATGTAACAGGTGTACAATTTGTTAAAAAGAAGAGAAATCTATAAAGTTTTTGACGGCAGGCCCTTTTTGGCGGTGTCGGTCGAGGGTGAGGAAACAACTGTTTTATTATGCAATAATTAGTTATTGCATACCAGACAAGATAGCATATGGTATCTATTCGCATTTCGCAGTTATATAGTATATATAGTATCTATAGGTATTTTTTTGATACTTTTTCTGCATTCTTAATCTTTACAATATATATTATAGAGCATATATTGATTAGTAATTATCATAGAAGTCAGTGAAAACCCCGTTTTACGGTGCCCGTTTAACGCGAAATGCGGATTGAGTCCTGGACCTTTTTTTGCTCTGTTCCGGACTGAAACGTTTTTGGCGGTTAAGCCGGATTAGGATAAATCACGACTCGCCTTAGATCGCGCACTATATACAAGTGTGACCTGTTATAAGGCGGAATCGTTAGGGGTCCATTGATTGTCATGGCGAAAAAAGCCATTGATATATAGAATCGCTTGATGATATATAGCAGGGTGCGAATTAACGTGAGTCGGGTCAAATATCCCAGATTCTGTCGATCCTGATTGGACTATTGCGGAGTCGTGTGAGCTTTCTGAAAATTTCTGCTTACTAAACTATGTTCGTTCAGAGCACGGCTGCGGAATGTACGCATTTTTTAGCTTAGATGTCAAAGAAAATTTGGCAGACGGTGCAACCGCAATGATCTTCAAATAAGCCATGCGTTATTAATGTATGTATCTTCTTTTGAACCTCAGACTGCAGACTCCCTCATGTTGCTGCGGACTCGCTCTCATTTCGGGGTAGCGAGTCGTTTGGGACTCCGGTGTTAAGTTTTTTACCAGCTGTAAATATGTAATATCGAAATCGGATGCGCTCCGACTATGAGACTCCCTGTATCGGCGTGACACGGGCATGAAATATCTGCGGCGGTGGTCGACTGCGCTGCTTGACGGATGAAGTGGAAGGCAACGCCAGATCCGCAGCTTCCCAAAATCGCCATGACAACAGGACCATGCGCACGACGCAGTGAACGGGCAGCTTTCGCACCATCGTCTGCCTCCATCACCTCATGCGTCTGTCTTGGTATGTCCACGGGCACCGTAGCGGACGCCATGACGAGAGCGAAATTGTGTCAGATTGAACGTTTGCTGTCTTTTGCTAGTGAGGAAAACGGAACGTGCTGTGTCAATATCACAGTTGTCTACGATCGGTCGGCTTGGATCCCCAGGTACAAATCAGTAGTTTGGTTGAGTGTATCCCAAAGGTGGCCAATCTTTAGAAAGTATCACGTTGTTAACATCGTGCTATTACATAACAGTTTGGTTCCTATGCTTGACACGGCGAGCGGGCGTCGCTCATCTCAGCCTCCAGGACAGAGATCAAAACACATGCCTCACTGACGAAAACCCTTCAACTGAAAAACAGATACAAGAGTCTCATACAACGTGGGTTCAGAATTATGCTTGGTGACCAATTGCCCACATTTTTTCAAAAAATTACAAGGTACGCATGCCTGGCCCCAGCTTGGCCAGCGCTGCTCGCTGTTGCTTTAGGAACCTGAAGTGTAAACACATGTTCACAAAACATGTAACCGTCAAGACCTTTTTGGCAGTAGGGAACATAGCTTGATACTATACCGCTCGTACTGCCAGAGTCCTCTGCGGCAACTGTACGGGGGCTAATAGTAATAGTACTAGGGGAAACACTGCATAACTTCAAAGTATTGCACTTCACTGTTTGCTGACCATACATGTTCAGTGATTGCTAACGTTTGTTCATGCATTATTACTCAAATTAGTTAACACGTAACGATGCAAAACCAAAACAATAGATTTGAAAACGTGCATATAAACATAAGTGAACAAAACTCACGAGGTGAAGCGAGATACGACGACTGAGGAGTCAATGACTCAACTGTGTCATGGACTCATTGGCACCGAACCAATGCAATTATCGTTATAAATGCAGTGTTGCATGACAATTAGCACATACTTGTTTTCACTGTGGTACAGGATCCTGCTCTCCCAACATACTAGGAATCCCACTCATCAAACAAGTTTTATTGCCGTGCACTCAGATGTCTGATGACACATCATAATACACACATTGCAGGCCACGACATATCAGTTATCACTCTAATATAGGCCTGATGCGCAGTGTATATTTTCATTATTGTACCAGGGGGTGGTCTGTGTGCAAACACACACAAATATATACTACTATTAGTATTACTAGCCCTAGTTCAATATGAGATAGAAACGAATCAGTGCTAGTGAAATGGCAAAGATGGTGGTGACATGCTGACGCTGTAGAATTGAAAAGAAAATTGTCCCCTAATATCCCCATCCCCTTCCGCCATCTGGGATTTACTGGAGGAGCAAGTTGATATGACTGTAACAGGGACGAATCCAGAGGGTTTGGGTGACCAGTTTCCATATGTTCTTCTGCAGCTAGGGGGGTCCGAGGATTTTTTTTTAAATTAGGCTATATTTGGTGCATTCTGGTGAATTTTGAGGCCTGTGACCGGTTTCTGGAAACCGGTGCAAACCGGCCTAAATCCGCGCCTGTGTAAGAATTAACTTCCTGGTTCAGAGATTAAAATTTTCGACTCTACATCAAAAGTCAGATGAAAACATAAATGACTATATTATGTCAGACTCACGCTTGAGAGAGAAAGTTGCTATGTGATTTTGGAATGGCCTAACTGAACGACACTGATTGAAATGTCGTCAGTAATCTTGTTTAAACCAATCGAAAATTTCAATTAGAGACCACTTACCAAGTCCGAAGAGTTCCCTATCTAGGATGTTTTAGAGAACGCTGAGAAGTTAGACAATAGGGGGATAGCTGGAAATAACTTGTGTTAGACAATAGGGGGTACAGCTGGGAATAACGTGTGGATAGGTCCTTGTTAAATGCGCGTCAACTGACCGGAACACTTGCACATCAAGTGGTCACAGCGACAGCCGGTAGCGAGCTGGCTGGAGCCGATTGGCCGGGCGAAGACAATAGGCCACGAACTTGCTCTCATTAGTATAAAACCCGCGCGCACGGTAAAAGTCGCTATCTCTCTTTCTCTTCTGATTATTACACAAATTATCATTTTTCTTGCACTGCGTTCGTCAGACGACCAGCACAACACTTGCATCGTAAGTTACGTTTCATGTAGGGCACGCACCCCGTGTACGCGTCATGCCCCTATTGGGATTATACATTAGTTAAGAATTATTACATTAAAGATCTTTGCTTGAATACGTACATATCTGTGTCGTGTTGTTTATGTGTTTACGACAGACATTATAGCTAAGGTGTACATCACCCACGAGTACCACTATTGCGATGCACAATCGTTTAGTCCGGTGTTACACTGGAGCCGTGACCAGCGCGTACTTTTGCTAAACGTCTGATAATTTTGTAAACATTTCTTTTATTTACTATGTGCTAATAATTATATGCCTTTTTCTTTGCACTGAGTGTCTGCTGTCATCTGCTGTACCATTGTACATGCTCAGCAATCGCACGGGTGGCGAAAAACAACCAGTAACATTTGAGTTTCTCACCACTATCGTCGCAGAGATGTATTTGTAAGTGCAACAGTTCCTTATCATAGCTACGAAGTTTATTGTCTGCATATTATGATATTTTCTATTGCTCTTATTGTTTTGACACATGTACTGCTTGTGGTTGCATTGCTTATTTCGTACAGAGTGGCTATATGCCCGGCAGCCGGCATATATCTGACGGCTGCCACGCACGGTCTTCGATTTCCTAAATGCCCGGCAGTTCCTAACCCAAGGCTCGACACTAACTTTTTTTTTCAGTGGCCCGAAAATGAAATCTGGTGGCCCGAAAAAAAAACAAAGAAAAAC